TTGCACCATCTTACTTTGACTTTAACAAAGAACACCGGTTATAGTTAAAGTCACGGTTAATGTTAGGTGGTGCAAATCAGCCTTAGCATGTCCAATTAAATAAATAACAAATTGTATTATTTCGACTAAGCAAATGGACACACGTGTAAATCAATCAATCAATCAATCAAGAAATAAATTATAGCTTTCCCTTTATGTGTTCGTAGGTAAATTAGAGATACAGTAGGTATTAAATTTAAGTTGCGAATGCAATCTATTTCGTCTGTCCCATATAATAATATAGTTTATAAAGTCTAGATAGGTAGAGTAAGCGCACGAAAAATGAGAAACTAAATAAAACTTTATTGTTTTAAATGTCTTATTAAATAATTTTTAAACAACAAATTATAATATTTTTTTACTATAAATGAGGATAAAAATCTCTCACTTTTCAAAAATCGCCCTAAAAATTTTCAACAACGTTTTGACAGTGACATAAGATTTTTGCCCCACATTTCTCTCATCTGTGCTACTGACGAAGCGTTTGTATCAAGATTATCTATCTAGGCTTTATCTATGGTCTGACCATAGAAACGGTTTCTGGCAACTGTGTTTGTGTGGCATCTACGTAGCCGATCTAGAAATTAATTAACACGGGAAACAATCCCGCAAGACTACAAAAGCGGGGTAACTGGAAACGCACCGCAAAGGGAACGTTGCAGAGCTCGGACACGCGCCTTCATTGTATGGCGTAATAATCATCGGCTGGTGTGTCCGGATCTCCGGATTTGATTCACCTGGTGCAAAGATTCTCAAACTGTTCCAGGATATTTTTGGCGTTCGTTAGTTTCAAGTAAGACATCCCATTTCAATACCTCTCGGTTACTTGTTTTTGTGAGTTAACTTTATCCGTGCAGTAGTACTGTACGTTTTATTAAATACTACAAAAGCGGGGTAGCTGGAAACGCACCGCAAAGGGAGCGGCGCATGGTGCAGTGCTCGGACACGCACCTACATTGTATGGCATAATAATCATCGGCTGGTGCCCGGATTTGATTCACCTGGTGCAACGGTTCTGAAACTTTTCCCGGATATTTCTTTCTATCAGTTTCATTTTAAACACATCCACTGATTGGTGATTGTTGTTACAGTACTAATCGGCTATTATTTAACTTTTAGCGTTAAGAGCGCATCTCAAACTAATTTGAAAATCATAAATTCCCGCCTTAGGCAGTACGATTTTTTCTAGTTATTTATAATTTTCAATCGGCTATTGTCTCATTCTACAAACTTAAAAAGATGAGACTCACAACATCAATTGTTAAGACTTTTATCTATAAATAAATAATTTTGAATTTTGAAAAACCACACCGACTCGACCGCCATCGCTGGCTTTAATGAAAATCAACAAAAATGTACTCTAGAATCTTAGAGTGGGCCCAGTTACTGGTAGAAAAAATATTTAAAAATACAATCCAGCGACTTGGGACCAAGCTAAAAGTGGGCCAAACTGGAAGACTCTTTATTTGGTAGTACTTGTAGTTGGCTTGATCATTGTGTAGTGACCCAGGCAGCTAGGCATACAGTGAATAGGGTATCAATTAATCATGGCGTGTTCCGGTCAGACCACTTTCCCCTTGAAATACAGTGTAATCTTAATACCTTAATACCGAAAAAAGAATCTTGCGATCATGTCACATTCTTTGGGGAGAGCGGGATGATTCGCAAATATCAGAATACACAAAATTTTGTCACGAGAGGCTCAAACAAATTGATTTTCCGGCAGTATTAACAGAGTGTGCAGGTTCAATATGTACAGACCCTAACCATAGCACTGTACTGCAAAATTTATATGACCAAATAATAGACGTTCTAAAGGAAGCCTCAATTTATAGCTGTAAGATGAAGCATACTTGTAAAAAGAAATATGTATGTGGCTGGAATAGACATGTAAAGCCCGCACATGATGAAGCTCGGTTATGGTTCCATTACTGGAACCTATTCGCTGGGTGCGAAGTACTAGGTGGGGGTAACATAATCTATCGCAGCGCTCATGGTGGTCAAAAGTAGAAATAATGTAAGCTCTGTCATCAGATGTATCTGTCAATGACAAAGCGATTCTACATAATACATTTTAATATCATTAATTAATCGCATGAAAAGGGTCCTACTGGGAACTAAAATAAAAGAGTGGACTGTATTTCGATAGGGCTGGTTTAATAGCCGTTTACAATTTGGAAATAACTAGACTATAGTAACGTGGTAGTACAAAAATGAGTCACAGTAGTTGTTGTGCACAGATGTTTGCCTTATGATGAGAGCGTGAATTATTGAACTCTGCCCTTGTTTTGTTCCTAATTCTTCTACATCTCGGACTTGTCCAGCCAATACCAACAACTTTCCTTTAAATACGGTTTGTGGTTGGAATTTGATATTGTAACACTCACAAACCCGGTCTTCAAAACAATACTCATTTCGATCTGAAAACGATATTTAATTTATTACTAGCGATACAGGAACATTTAATTATATTTACTGTTATATAATGAAACCGTTAAAGTAGCTTTTTCTTTTTGTTTTACTGTAAAACTACAACTGTTGGAGTCACCCTAGTTGGTTCAGAGAAAAGATTTAACAAGTTAAAAGATTTGAATAAATTTAAAAACCGTATTGAAAGAGAGGAATCTTCTATTATATTGATATTAAAGTCTCCACATACAACTACTTTCTTTGAACTATTACACACTCTTCTAAGTACCTCTTCCATTGTGGTTTCAAATAATTCATAGTTACTAGATGGGGGTCTATATACACATACAATAACATAGTCGTCCAGTTCTGCACATGACAGCTCAATAGTTCGCTCAACAGAGAGAGATACAATATCTTTACGCTCTTTACATTTTAATTTATCATTGATTAATATTAGTGACCCTCCACGAATAGCTAACTCTCTAGTGAATGAACTAATAAGCTTATAATTATTAATGCTCAGCATTAGTTCATATTGCCTGAGCCAATGTTCCGTTAAACATAAGACATGAATATTCAATTCTTGGATAAATAACTCAATTTCCAAGTCTTTGCCGGAGAAGCCTTGTACATTTTGATGCACTAAATTAAAACCGTTAAATTTCTTTGTACCCGAATTTTGTATGCCAGAGTTATCCTCTATTGTCTTACGATGTAATTTAAATTATGATTTGGAACAGATTCCAAGGGTCGAACATCCATGTTCTGCTCAATAAAAGCAGTTTGGCTAGCCAAATTAATGGCTAAATATTTAATAAAATATGATAGCGAATTCGCTATTCGTCTTTTACAATATTTATTTAGATAATTATATTTATCTATTGTCAATAAACATTTATTTTTTAAATAATAGTTAATTCTGTAAAAAACTAGCCAAGTCTCGATGGAGCTGCTTGTTTATCTCTAAAAAGTAATGAAATCTAGACAAAGTCGTGCCAAGTCTATGGTTCCTTACTGCGATTTCTTTATTATTATAGTTAATGTTGTGTGACTTGGCCGTTGAAGGGTGACAAAACCAGGTGCTCCATGACACCATTGCACCAATCTGTCACCAGAACCGCTACCCATTGACGATGGAAAATTGCCACTTGGAAAACATTGATTCAATAACCAGTTAATTGTAGGCTTAATAAAGCTGCGTATTTCAATTATACTTATGTATGATTATCTTATAAACAAGATTATCTTAAAAACAAGTCATACAGGGTTCCATCTGTCAGGCTCAATGGCACTCCTCTGAAACAAGTGCAGAGCTTTAAGTACCTGGGGCATTGGGTCACTGAGTCGCTCAAGGATGACTTAGACCTAGAACGGGAGCGCAGGGCGTTGTGTGTTAGGGCTAATATGATTGCTCGCAGGTTTGCGCGATGTACTAAACAGATTAAGATCACACTTTTTAAAGCCTACTGTAACTCTCTGTACACGTGCAGCCTGTGGACAAACTACACCCAAGGAGCATACAGGGCCCTGCGCACTCAGTATAATGACGCATTCAGGATGCTGATGGGGCTGCGACGATACTGCGGTGCATCAGGGATGCTGGCAGAAGCTCGAGTAGATAGCTTTGCTGCCATTTTAAGAAAGCGCACTGCGTCCCTGATCCACCGTGTGCGTGGCAGCTCCAACAGCCTCCTGCAGAGTGTCGCGGCGAGGTTGGACGTGGACAGTGCCATCATGCAGCACTGGACACGCGTCCATCTTACTAAAGACACCAAATTGTCGTTCTTTAATTATAATTATGTTTAGGTTACTGTGTGATTTACTAACCATAGTTTATAAGACCTTTGTTACTAACACTTTTATGGGCTATGCCTGAAATAAATACCTTTTATTATATTTTTTATTTATTTATCTTAATAAAGATTGTTCAACGGCCAAGTCACACAACATTAACTATAATAATAAAGAAATCGCAGTAAGGAACCATAGACTTGGCACGACTTTGTCTAGATTTCATTACTTTTTAGAGATAAACAAGCAGCTCCATCGAGACTTGGTTAGTTTTTTACAGAATGTTTTTAGTGGGATTATTGTTTACTGGTTCATTTTTATGCTACCTACTTTTTATTAATTTACTCGATCACTCGTTCATCAGTCACTTACTTGTTCATTCGTTCACTATCACTTATTCATTCATTTCATCGTTCGCCATTCACTTGATTATCCAAAATCATTCATTCACCTTTCATTTATTGACCCATTCTTTAATCACTCATTGACTCTTTCCCTGTTCATTCATTCATTGATCTAAAGCCCGGTCTGTGAGCACGTAGAATTTTGTCCAATGACCCCAAGCTACCCATCCTTATCGGTCACGCGTAATTATGTTGCTGTCGCGACTGTGCGACGGGCGCCCGCAGTGAGTGTGCGAGCGCAACAGCAATATAATTACGCGTGAGCGATAAGGATGGGTAGCTTGGGGTCATTGGACAAAATTCTACGTGCTCGCAGACCAGACTATAGTGTTTTCCCTGGATCTGAAGCTATATTTTTGTTTCCCAGGTCCGTCTATGCGATTGTCCAGGCCTGGTGTTCCCTTCGAAGGTGCCGCGGCCTATCCAGATCCTCATGGGGTCTTACCCCATAGCTCAGCTTAGGGAACCATACACCACAATCAGGTAATTTACGATTTGATGATCGACTGTAATAATAGAGTAAATAAACGGTCAAAACTACATTACTCACTTCAGGTTTGATCACTCACTGATGACCTGATGATGATGATAATATTTCTTAATTTTAAATAACTTAAAAAAATGGAATTGCCTAAGTTGGGAATCGAATCCATAACCTTTCGCTTGCCGGGCGTCTGCTCTCGCTGTCACCATCTGTGCTACTTAGATATTTGGTGAAAGCTAAAGGTAGTGGGTTCGATTCCAACCTTAGGCTATGAGATTTTTTCAAGTTATATAAAATGTAGTTTCAAGTTATATAAAATTAATAAATAGATAATGTTTTTTCTCAGATACCTAGCAGAGTGGTTAGTCTGGCCAAACTTATTGTGGATACTTACCTTAAGAATAATGATCTGTAGCCTTATTCACGTAACAAAACTTCAACGACAACAAATCGTTGAATGCGATCCTATCGAGTAATCGTTCATCGAAATGACCCTTATGAATACGGATTTAGAACTGTTTTTCAATGGGACGACTTCTAAACTTCAGCGAGATCTTGACTGTCAAAATACGTGAATTAGGCTACTGATAATGATGATGATGATATTTCTTTCCCAGGTACCTAGCAGAAAGCCTAGACTTGCCCAAGCTATTACGAATCATCATCATTACTATCATTTCAGCCACAGGACGTCCACTGCTGAACATAGGCCTCCCCAATGATTTCGATCCAGCACTTTTGCGGATAGTTCACCTAAAGAATGATGATGATGATGATGATGGTGATAATGATGATGTTTCTTTCACAGGTATCTAGCAGAAAGGCTAGACTTGCCCAAGCTGTTGCGAATGGATCACCCGGAGAACGACGATGTCTGGTCCCCTAGAGACATTTGCGATGGCTGGGCTAAGAAACGAGGGTATCTCACTGCTAAGGCGGCCAGGTAAGTCCGTTCGTTCGTTTCCACTGCACTGCTGGACATTAAAATTCTTCATTTAAATTTCTGCCTGGCCGGGAATCGAACCTGGGACCTCTCGGCACAGTAGTCTGTTTTAGAACCACTACACCAAACAGCCGACATTAACTTTACTTTTAAATATTACGTTAACTTTCTCAGACATAGAACCAGTTAAAACATAGGGTAGTTTTTATCCCGATTTTGTCACATAGCGATATTCATTTATTTTAGATTTCAAGAACTAACATTTATATTAAAATGAAATCTTCAAAAACAGCACATTTTCGATTTGTTTGTGGTGTGAAATAAATAAAATCTATCTTCTATCTATGTATCTATATTATTGTTATATTTTTATTGTTACAGGTTAGATACATACAGGGCAGCTAACAGCCTACTTAGAATGGCGCTAGACGGCAAGATATGCCTTTGGTTGAGACCTCCAGGTTTCACAGAGCGAAAAGGTATGTTACATCTTTTATACAGGGCGTTCCAAAATTGGCACGTCACACCAAGAGGTAGATAGGCCTAAGACATTAAAAATCAAGAAAAATGAACACTGTTCATAAAACACTAAAATCATTCCTAATAAATAAAGGCTACTATGACTTACCAGAATTTTTTAATGACAAGCTTGACTAAAATTTAATTAATAATTTTCTGACGTATTGGAAAGCTCGAAGCATTCCAATATGTCATTCATACGTCTCAATTCAAATTGTTTTTGTTTCGTATAATACTGACCATGTTATTTAAAATTATTTTTAAGGTAAATACTAACCCTCTCTCTGATGTTTTGCTGTGCCCTTGCAGGGCGTCACTATTTTGCAACAACATATAAATTGTAATGTGACATGCAATAAACGTTTTGAATTTGAATTTGAAGACGTATCGAGAAAATGTCCATTTAAAAAAAATAGTTTCCTCCGTGGTTGAGGATTCCGGGTGAAGCTCGCTTCCACCTTCGGCCTGATCGTCACTTACCATCAGGTGAGATACAGGCCAAGAGCTTCCTCGTTGTGGATAAAAAAAAAAGTCATATCTTAAAACTTATGAAACAAATTTATCTTGTTTATATTCGTTCGTTTCAGCCAAAATGACGTCCACTGGACAAAGGCCTCCCCCAAGGATTTCACAACGACCGGTCCTGCCCGCATGTAAAATCTTCAAGCGACCTTCACCAGATCGTCGGTCCACCTAGTGGAAGGCCTGCCCACGCTATGTCTTCCGACCCGTGGTCGCCACTTAAGAACTTTTCTGCTCCAACGGCTCACCCTACAGTCAATAGGGGCACGCGTACGAAGTTGCGGGCACAGCTAGAATCGCTATAAACATGATTCAAATCACGATTTTTAAAATAAAAATCACAGATTTCAATCAATGACCGAAAATGAAATTAATAAAAGCCCGAGAGCTTATAATAATCAACTGTAATGTTCGAAAACAATGTTAATACTAGGTGTTAATGTATGAAATTGTCGTTTTATATGGAGAATTGGAAAATTTTAATTTTTCCATACAAACATATTTGCGATTTTTTAAATAACCACATATTTTTTGGCGGTGTTGCCAGTTCTATATATCAATTCTACGTAAATAAAAATGTTTTCCATAAGAAAAACTAAAGAAATAATCTCAAAACCCAATAAAAAAAATGTGATTAATAAAAAAATCGTGAATTAAAAAAAAACTTTTTTTTTTTTATAAAAAAAAAATTGTGATTTTTTCCACCCTGGCTATAAAGCAATCTCTTCCATACAACCTATGATGTTAACAAAACAAACTTTTGTCCACAGACCACTTCGAAACCTGCCCAGAAGTGAAGTACGTCAAATGGGTGCAGGCTTTAACATCAGCTGAAGACAAGCAAGACACTCCAGTGACATCTTCAAGTGAGAATGATGATTCCAACGGTTCAGAAGCCGAAGAGAGCGCTGATGATGATTATGACGATGATGTGGGCGTCGCTAAGAACAGATTCATGGCGCTTTTGGACGAGTAAATCTTATTTAACCCTTAATTGGTCAGTTCAGTTACAGTTTTGGACCGAGTTTGGACCTTAACACAAGAAAATAAAGTTCTAAATAATTTAGCTTTTAAGCTAAATCACATTTAATCCTTAATTGGACAAGTCAGTTTCAATTTTTTTTATTATGGACCTTAACAGATATTGGAGAGATTCATGGTTCCTTTAACCCTTAATTGGAACCCTTAATTAAAAATGTTCCTTTTATTTAACCTACTTCTGAAAAAAAGGTTCTCAATTCGACTGTATTTTTTGTATGTTTCAAGTCAATTAATCGATTGCCACAGGTGGGAATTGAACCAACGACCTTTTGATGGGTGATTGCTTTTATAATTTTATATTTGTAAGACTGAAAGTAAATGGCATCTACTAACCAGTAGAATTTATAAGATTCCAATCTTTCGATCATAAAGGTATAGATCGTTTAATCCACGAAGACGCGCCCCACCATTCTTCCGCTAATGTTTGAGTGTTATCGGTACACGCTAAATGCTCCATGAGTGCACACGCACACTACAGTAATGCCTTACGGCTTGCTCGGACCACACTCCCCGCACCCCGCGCGACCGGGACCAAACATTGCTGGGGCGCGTCCGAGTGGGTGAAACGAACTATAGTCTGGTCTGCGAGCACGTAGAATTTTGTCCAATGACCCCAAGCTACCCATCCTTATCGCTCGCGCGTAATTATGTTGCTATCGCGCTCGCACACTCACTGCGGGCGCCCGTCGCACAGTCGCGACAGCAATATAATTACGCGCGAGCGATAAGGATGGGTAGCTTGGGGACATTGGACAAAATTCTACGTGCTCACAGACCGGGCTTTATCTATAGCAGGAAGGCGCTGGATGCAGGCCGCTACCAACCGGTCATTATGGAATTCATTGGGGGAGGCCTATGTTCAGCAGTGGACGTCCTGTGGCTGAAATGATGATGATTATCTTTCGACTAAAATACGTGATTTTTTCTCGGATTCGAAATATTTCACAGAAAATTTTAAGGACTTCAACGAAGATTTATAAAATTTTATCCAAATCGATCCAGCCGTTCTCTACTTTTTGCGCTTAGTAACACGTTTAGCTATTAATTTTAATTTATATAAATTATTATAAAAATGATCGCTTGCATTTATTTCTTAGACTAAAACTAAACATTGTATTATTGTTTAGTAAAAAGTTGTTTTATAAAAACGTGTTTAAAATACTTGCTCTGTTTATAAGATAGACAAGTTTTAAGTTAAAAATCACTAGTGTTTTTTTTTTGCGTATACTTATGCCCGTTTTCACCATTAATCCCTAATTTTTAAGTGACCCTGATGAAAACTAAATTTCTGTTAAGTGTTACCATAGGGGTCACTTTAAAATTAGGTAGGTATTAATGGTGACAACGGGCATAAAGCCCTTTTTCATTATCATTCCTAATTTTTAAGTGACTCCTACGAAAACAAAATTCTTGAAGTGTTACCATAAGGGGTCACTGAAAAATTTGGGATTGATGGTGAAAACGGGCATTATGCCCGTATTCACGAACATTACTATGAGGTCTCACAGTGCGCGTAGACGCATAGGGTGACACGAATCAATCAGAGAGCTCTATTCAACGCTATGCGTTTGATTAGCTGCTTCACTTAAGCAAGCATCGTTTGTGAATACGGGCATTATGCTTGTTTTCACTATCAAACCCTAATTTTTAAGTGACCCCTATGGTAACACATAGATTTTTGGTTTCATAGGGATCACTTAAAAATTAGGGATTGATGGTGAAAACGGGCAATAGTCTGAAGAGACACCTGGCTACAGACTTTTAGTCGGCCAATAGTTTGGTCGGGCTGTTAATCAGTATGGGCATGTATGGAAGTGCGCACATTACACAGATTTAGTATCGGCCGAGTCTTCACACAAATTGAAAGCCGACCAAATTATCGGTCGACTATAGTCTGATCTGCGAGCACGTAGAATTTTGTCCAATGACCCCAAGCTACCCATCCTTATCGCTCGCGCGTAATTATGTTGCTGTCGCGCTCGCACACTCACTGCGGGCGCCCGTCGCACAGTCGCGACAGCAATATAATTACGCGCGAGCGATAAGGATGGGTAGCTTGGGGTCATTGGACAAAATTCTACGTGCTCACAGACCGGGTTTTAAGTCTCTAATAAGTATAAGTTACTTGAAATGTCGATAAATCGATATTTTTATTCGATGTACGAATGAATGAATTATTTAACTTTGATACGATTCCGTTACTATGAAAGTTGTAGTTGTGTACGTTAATATTTAATGCTTAATAAATTATATTTCAATTATTTTGTGGTTTTATTGATAACAACTGTTTACAGTATTTTTGCCCGTGCGGTTATGCATAGCTTATTTTTATTGCTTTCTTACCTAGAAATAAGAATAACAACAATAAATTGTTCTGAATTTGCTTTTATGTGTAAAAATCGAAAAATTCATATCAATGAATGTATGAAACATGGATAATAATATAGAGATGATTTAATTTGTTGCCAAATATATTTTTTTATTTTTTTTTTCTTTTTTTCTAATAATTAAAATATACCAAACATCCATTTAAGATTCATTCTCACAAGAGAAGTTTTAAAATAGAGTCCAAATATTTATAAAAAATGAAAAGTTCTACTTTCCTGTCATCTTCCATAGAAGATTTTTCTCATAAAAACCTAACCCTATCATGCTTTCAGTATACTGGCCTTGGTAACGTCGTCTCTCAAATCCCACTATATTTTTATGGAAGCGTGCCCCTTGTTCTTGCGAATAAACCCCCATAATTATCTATAAATGTATCCCAATGAGAATTTGACGTGCATCTTTAGAGACATTCTACTATGAAGATGGAAAATTCAAATCGCTATAACTTTTTAAAAAGCAAATATTTTAGATTTATAATCGCACTTTTTAATATAAATAATTTTTAATGCTTAAATAATCAGAATATAATTAGTAAAATCCATGCGCAAAAAAAAATTTTTTTTTTGTTGACCGGTGATAATCTAACGTATTGTTAATAAAATGTTAGCTATAGGTCTAGCCTCGGGTCTAGCGCTTAACTCAGTCTGCCTGAGGTATGGGAGCGGCACGGGAGGAGATTCACGATAGTTGACTTACTTGACTTATGGTCCTAAGTCCCCTAGATGGGGCAGAGGGCGTCCACAACAGTCCTCCATCGCGTTCGGTCTTGAGCTATGTGTTTGATCTCGCTCCAAGTCTTGCCGATCTTCTTCGCCTCGTCTGCCACAGTGCGCCGCCAAGTTTGCTTGGGGCGACCACGTTTGCGTTTTCCTTGGGGGTTCCAATCCAGAGCCTGCTTGGGGATGTGATCGGGATCCAGTTCCACCTGCGGCGCTTGATCTGCTGGTCGATCGGAATTTCGTGGCAGCGTTCCAATAGCTCGACGTTGGAGATTTTTTCAGGCCAGTATATGCCGAGAATTCGGCGAAGGCAGCGGTTGACGAAGACCTGCAGCTGGTGCGAGATGACCTTGGTGACCTTCCACGTTTCACACCCATAGAGCAGCACGGATTTAACGATAAATCCGGACCCGAAAATTTTGATCTTGACCCTTTGGGTCAGTTTCCGTGACTGCCATACGGGGCGAAGTTGTGCGAAGGTGGCTCTAGCCTTGGCAATGCGCGAAGTGATGTCCACTTCGGTACCTCCAGTCTCTGACACGACGCTCCCGAGGTAGGTAAAATTGTGGACACGTTCCACATCCTCTGCACCAATCCGTAATGGTGTGCAATTCCTCACTCCAGATCGCATCTCTTGGGTCTTCCGGCAGTTAATCTTGAGCCCCGTGATGCCCGCCTCTAAACTCGATAGTTACGGTGTTATTTTACAACAAAGAATAGTCTACAAACCCAAGTCATAGCGAGTGCGTGACCGCTTCAAAAACAGACGCCCTCACTCATCTCAACCCCTCTTCGCTGGGGTGACCATGGTATCGGGATTTGAAGGGCCGCACTCCGCGTCCACTTATCTACGCACTAGTAATTACACTTATGCGATTTTGCGATAATATGAAATGAAATTATTATTTGGAAATTATTTTCAATCTTATTTTTAAAAAGAAAAAACTAAAGGTTGCCTTTTACATATCCCTTTTTCCCTGCCATTAAGTGGATCTTTAATCTTCAAACTTCTATTATCTTCTGATTAATATCTTTACGGGTCCAATAACATTAACTCTCCCCGGGGAAAGTTAAATTTGCTGACCATTTACATAATAAAGAATGATTTCTCATTCACACACAAAATCATGGGCACCCTACCCCACGCCCTTATAAATCACAGATCGGAATCAAACCCGCTACCCATTGTTCGTCTGCTTTGGACAGTTATATCGCCAATCCTAGGGGCACGGGTTATAATGGATTTAAAATTTCGCAAAAAATATGTGTGAAACCACAGGTTTCAGAGTAAGGCTGGTTTTAGTGTTACGCGGACTGTCAGTGCGGATCGCTCCGCACAGCCGATCTGTATGAACTGTTAGGGAGCGGAGCGGTTCCTCCGGACCGCATTACTCTAAAACGCTTCCTAGAAGTTCATACAGATTGGCCGTGCGGAGTGGGTCCGCACCGGACGGTCCGCGTGACACTAAAACCAGCCTAAGGAAGAAGCGAATATGATTTTTTGATGGCTTCTGGGGCAGAAAAGTTCTCGAGTGGCGACCACGAGCCGGAAGACGTAGCGTGGGCAGGCCTTCCACTAGGTGGACCGACGATCTAGTAAAGGTCGTGGGATGTGCCTGGATGCGGGGAGCGCAGGACCGATCTTTGTGGAAATCTTTGAAGGGGTTGGACGTCAATTTTTTACACACCATGCAACATCGTCGCACCAGTTTTTGTTTAATTGGCTTTCACGAACAGAAAAGAATCGTTATTTCTTGATAGTTAAAAGAAAGAAGAAAAATTAGACTAATTCAAAGACACTTTAATAAGACTAAGAGTAGGCGCACACCGTTGATTTTTCGTCGGCCGATAGTTTAGTCGGGCTGTTGATCAGTATGGGCATGTATGGGAGTGCGCACACTAAGTACGCCGATTCGATTTGGCCGATTCTTCATACAATTTGAAATCGAGCACAACTATCGGCCAACTAAAAATCAACGGTGTGCGCCTACTGTAAGCCAAAAATTGCTTTGCTGTTTTAAGCTTGTAAATATTTTGGCTTGCTCGTCTCTCTTTGATAAACCAAACCCGTGAGTTATCACTAGTTTTGAAATCAAACTAGTTTGTGCCGTATCAGTGTTCAACACTTCAAACTAAACTGACTAGTCAGCCCTAATATAACTTAAAGGGACTTAAAGGTACATTTGCTTGTGTAGTTAACTCAAGCGGACCGTGAAATGGTGCTGGACTGCGGGCTAGGGTGGGGAAGGTGTCGATAGTTTGGGGATATCGATAAAAAAAGGCAACAACACATTGTTTAGCGAGTTCTTTAAATCTATTGCTTCAGGTGGGAATCGAACTCATAATGATAGATT